CACTTAGTGAAGCAAAGCCTAGCATATGATATCACAACGTCTAGTCAGATGAAGTAGGTCTTGAGTGATCCCTCTCTTCTCAAGCTCTTCCTTCCAAACAAGTAAGCTGAATTAAAAATGTGTTTCTGATTTAGCTAGCAGGGCCACATCGTCTGCAAATGCCAGCTCTGAAATACAGATCGGTCTCATCTTCCAGTACCCTACTGAGTACTTCTTTGTCTTCTTCTTACAGGTCCTAATGACATCATCCATCATAAGAATGAAGAGGTAAGGTGAGAAAATATCTGCCTCTTCTTCTCTTCCACCTTGTATGGCAGTGAATGTCGGGGGTTGAGGAGGAAAGGGGGAGGGACAGGTGTAACGTTTGTTGATGAGCTCTGTCAAGAGCACTATTAAGATTGGTGTTCATTTATGTAAGGCTGTTCTTAATACCATCACTCCACATTTTCCGAGATCTTGCCTTTGCTTTATCCCGTTGTAACGTTTCAGTGGGGCTTGCTGTGGTAGATAGCACCAGGGCATTCTTGTTAGGTGAACAAACCTCTATATTTGTTGTTCTTTGATGACCTGTAAGACTGGCTTTATTCCTAGCATTCGTCTGATTTCGTGTTCTGTCTTTCCTTGAAACTCATGTAGCTCTTCTAATGCATTTCATCTCTGTTGTCACAATTGTACGTTCATCAGAGGATGTAAGTGTCCACGTTTCGCACTGATAGCAAAGTGTTGGCCAAAAATACAGTTCTGATAAGATTCGTTTTAGTACTCCGGGGTGTCTGTTTGTCAACAGGGGAGATAGTTATCCCATTACTTGGTAAGCTTTGGCACATCTTGAGCTAATTTCTCCTTTAAGTTTTCCATCGGATGTGAAAATTGCTTCCAAATACTTGAATTCCTATGTTTGTCTTTTTTGGCGTTGTTTAAAAAAAATGTATTTCTTAATTGCTTTGCTGTCTTTATATCACCATTGTCTTTGTCTTCGTAGTGTTTATTCTCATATTATATCTCTCCCCCTTTTGTTGTTGTTGTTGTTGTTGTTATTAATTTTATTTAGGTGTTTCTGTGGGGATTCTGAACTTGTTGCTATGAGTACCTGGTGGTCGGCGAATAGTAATTCTGTAATTTCTTCTTCATGATTCAAGTTCGTTTCCTTACATATGGTATCCGTGTATATTATAAAAAGAAGTGGCGATAGTACACAGCCCTGTCGTACACCAGAGTTCACGAAAAAAGTTCTTGACAATCCTGCCTTCGATCTTATGCAGCATTTACTACGTGTGTACAGGCTTTTGCAGATAATAATGATATTATTGCTGATTCATTTTCTCCCCATACATACAACATATTCCTGTTGACTCTATCGAAAGCTTTTCCCTGGTCTACGAATGTCAATATTTTGGTCATATCAAGCGCCACGACGGATTGGAAAAAATTATAGCAGAAGGCATGGTACCAGGAAGGAGGGGCAGGGGCCGACCGACACGAAGATGGGCACAGGATATAAGTGACTCCTTGAGTGTGAAAGTTCATGAGGCGGGAGAACTGGCGAGAGACCGAGTTTCTTTCAGGCAGACTGTGATGAGAGCGACGTTCTGCAAAGGACCTGCTACATGATGATGAATGTCAATAAACAAATCTTATCGTGTTCTATTGCGCGCGCGCTCTCTCTCTCTCTCTCTCTCTCTCTCTCTCTCTCTCTCTCTCTCTCTCTCTCTCTCTCTCTCTCTCTCTCTCTCTCTCTCTGATAGTTGTCTAAATGTAAATTGCATCTGTGCAACTTCTATTTCGTCGAAAGCCCATCTGTGCTTTTGAGAGTTGATCATTAGTCTTAGCCTTCTGTCGATGATCTAAGCATACATTTTCCCAGTGTGACTGAGAAGCGATATTACTCTGTAATTGGTACAGTACCTCTTATTTCCTTATTTTTCCATAGCGGGACGATGACAGCAGTTTGCTAATCTGTTGTTTCTTGATTTTCCCATGCCACCTGAAATATAATTATCACCTTGTCCAAAACCGCTAGTGGTCTTAAATTCTTCTGACTGTTGGTCTGCTGTTCTTACATAATTTCTGCAGCTTTTGTATAAACTCTCTATTGCACTGATCAGGGATGATTAAATGTTGTCCCTGCCAAGCAGTCCCAGAGCTTCCTGTTTAACAGATCTTATTTGTTTGCAACTGCTAGTTCCTTCGAAATCGAGGACGCCAGGACTAATGGTCACATAATCAGTGTTGCCACTTTTCTGTGACCAAAAATATCTAAAACGGTGTCAAAAAATATCTAAAACGATCTAAATCTGCGTGGAAAAGATCTAGAAAAAACATCCAAATTGAAAAAGTCAAAAATCACATAGCTTTTGTTATGACTTACCCTACATAATCATGTCCTCATCTTCACTGTCTGCCTCACAAGATCCACAGGATAAACTTAGCTTGGATAATGAAGTTAAAGCTTCAGATCCAAAATGGCCTTGGCATGCTTTAGCTGTTCAAATTTCTTTATAAGTGGAACAATAGGCTTATTTCTCTAGTCTCATCAGGCCGAATTTTAATGGCACGATAGCATTTAAGAGGTCACATTTCATCCTGTTTTTTAGGTTAGATTTGATATAATTCCTAGCACTGAAAATTCTTTTTACGTCAGCATTTGAGTGGGGTAGTATCATGGCAGACATGGCACTTTAAAGAGCTTACAGAATGGACTGTTCGATGAGGCATCTTTAAATTGTCTCACTTCACTCCAAAAACGCGTTAGTTTCTGTTTTGTTTGTCCATTCAGCTAACTTTATTTTGGTTAACTGATATTCTGCTTCCGCGACACTATTATCAGTAGCCCCTAAAAATTTCATAACTTTACAATATTTAAGTATGTCCTTTATTGGCTGAAGTATGTTGCTCACAGAAAAAGGTGAAATATTTTTCAAAACATCTTGATTTTCAGGAAGTCTGCTTAAATTGCTTCAATAATGAGATAAGGAAATCTTGACAGCGTTTTCTTAAGTTGTTCTCTTCATTCTCTGTTAACAGTCCTTTTGTTTTTAAATCATCAATTTTTGATTCGATTTAATATCCAAGGTGTGGCTTAGGAGCCAAATAGCTCTCTATAGTGCAAGTTAGCAAATCAGCTTTAGAAGTTGGCAACACCAGTCTTTTACCGAGTGAAATAGCAAGGTGAGATCATCAATTAATTTAACTTTATCAACAAGTTTAGATTCGAACAGTTTATTAACTTTTTGCACTTCCATTAGAATAGGTTATAAAAAGAGAATGAATTACAAATTTTTTCATTACTGTACATTCCATATAGTATTTCAGCTGTGTAGCACTTTTCACTTTGTCTTGTTATTTCAAAGTGTGTCTTCAACTTCAACCATTTCTTCATAATTCCTTCAACAGCTGGTTAAATTTATAACCATCTAGTTTTGAAGTCTGACAGAATTTTCGTTAGTGTGGCACCATCATTCGAGGCTGTATATAATGTATTGTATTGCTGTTGTCTGACAAATGATTTGGAAAACCTGTAAAGTGTTTCAGCAATAAGGTATTCCAAATTCCTTGGTAAATATTTAGATGAAGCATGTGTTCATGCTAGCTGCAATGAAGGACGCATACATTTTATAAGTATTAACGATGGGTTAGCTTCCTTCAACTTGGCATAAACGCCATTGTTTATACCAACCATCACTGAGGCATTATCAGTACCAATTACAGCCAAATTCTTCAAGCCTAACTGTTTGCTGATTAAAAGGTACTTCAGTTCCTAAACTATACTTTCTACATCACACTTTTCAAATCGAACTAGTCCAAGATTTTTTACAAATCGATCAAATGGTCACTGTTTGAAATTGCGCAGTGGCAAATTAAAAACATTGCGACTGATACTTCAACTTTTGATCATTCATTTATCAGTATAGTTCTGAAAACAGATGTCAGCGGTGTAATATCTTTAAATGAAACTGCAGTTTTATGCTTTTTTAGTCTCTGCATGACTCTTTGAGTTTTGTATTTTCGCTTTAATTTCACACTTGCAGTACTTACAACAAGCTTTGGTCATATCCCCAGTTTTTAATTTTGTCATCATGCAACCACTCTTTCCAATTTTTTTGCTCATACTTTACTTTTGGCATGTTGAAAGGTTTTTTCAAAGTGAAAGCCGCATAAGAAGGTGAGCAATTATTTTTTTCAAATCACATGAAAAAGAAACACAAAGTCAGCACAGTGAGGATACGGTTGAAACAAAGTTAGTATGAACTGACTGAATTTCTACCCCACCAGGACATCACACAAGCGATAAACACCCGATGACACAAAGTGCCACCATGCGGATGAGGATCGCCGTGGAGAGGTCCCAGAAACCGCGTTCAGACATTTGGCCATAATGATGACCTGCCTATATTGCGGCCCCTGGCAAAAGCCAGAGTGGGGCTTCAAATAACAAAAAATTACGCCCTAATAAGGACGTATGAATATAAAGTTAGTATGATTCACGCGCGTTTTTATTAATCAGTACCGGGGCTGCCAGATATTTGTGCATTGACCCCAGTGAGAGTTCAAAGTTCAAGTAATGGCAGTTGTTACAATGTACGTGCCAGACAAAACAAAACTATTGTAGCAAATATTTTACACGGTAATTATTAAATTGACAATGAAAGAACAAAAAATCTATAAAATATCTAACTCCATATGAAAGGAATCTAGAAATATATTTACGATCTAATCGTCAAAAAACAGTATCTAAATGCAATGAAAAGGATCTAAATTTAGATATAAAAGATCCAAAGTGGCAACACTGCACCTAATCGTACGAATTCGCTGTCGTTCGCATTTTTAAAAAGCCGGATTAACATGTGCACACTATTTGTAGACGTCACTAACAGCCATATTTTTATTTTATTTTGAATTGTTAGATCCTGTGTAAGTCGGGCTTGTAGCAGGGATCATTTTTTTTTAACAGTGGATATTACACAGCAACATAGCATAGAGATAATTAATTGCACTTTAATATGGCATCAGACTCTATTGAAGACAGGACGTCGGCTCCTTGTGAAACTGTTAGAGAGGATGATGAAGATGGCCCTCAGCTTCAGCAGGAGATAGTCCAGGTAGACTCAGCTCAGCAGTGGAATGGATTGCCGTTCTAATAATCAATTTTGTTATGTTTTAGTGTCCATTATTTTACTGGACGAATTCTAAACAATTCTTTTGTAACGTCGAAGTTATCGACAATGTTATATATTGTTAAATTAGTGTTACTCAGTAAGTTAGACACGCAAAATGCAGCTGTTGAGTTCCTAATAATAATTTTTTTTTTTTTAAATCGGCTATCCTCCAAACTTCGGGCACAAAAGATGGCGGTCGCAAAATATCCGGCTCTCCTTTGAATCAACCCCCAAAATGACGGCATGCTACATTCAGGGCATAAAATATCCAAAAAATATCCGAACGACGGTGTTCGCGTATATCTAAAATACGGACTTTCTGCCAAGGAACAAATCGCGGCAAAACTAGGATTACTTGACAATATGAACATTGCACACGGTAGTAGTAGCAGACGATAAATACCGACAGTTTCTGTAGACGACAGTAGCAGCAGACGATAAATCTGAGAGTTTCTGCAGGCGATACTAGCAGACGATAAAAGCGACCGTTGACAATTTCGAGACATTACAGACGATACTGACAGCGATATGGCGGGTAGACCACGCATGGCTCGCACGTTTATTAGCAATACTGTTACTTTTCAGCATGCGCAAAACGCGGGATTGGGGACTAAACTAGGTGCCTGGGACTCACGAGTACAGTAATTGGAGGAAGTTGCAGGAGATGCGGTAGCTGCCGCTCATGAGTCCCAGCCATCTAGTTTAGTCCCCATCCGCGCCGCTACGCGCGCGCGGTGGACACGCTCGGCGGTGAGTCACACTCGCAGTAGCAGGTCGGCAAGTAACTTAACGCCGAGACCCTGTCAGAGCATTTGATTCGTTATCCGGAGCCGGCACATATATTTTTAATAGAACTGACCCGCATTAGGATATTTTATGGCAAGAAATTTGCCAATTTAGCTCTCTTTCGAACGCCATCATATTAAAGCCGCCATTTTGGGGGTTCCCCACACTGCGTTAGCGTTAGCGGCGTGGATTGGGGCTAAACTAGATGGCTAGGACACGAGCAAAGCTGCAGGAGATGCGGAAGGTGCTGCTCGTGGGTCCTAGCCACCTAGTTTAGCCCCAATCCACGTGGCGTAGGGGACTCACGGTGGTTGCGGTAGTCGCCTGGAAAACCGCAAATTAAGTCACGTGACTGAGGCTCGAAAGGATATTTTGCGGCCGCCATCTTTATGTGCCCAAAGTTCGGAGGATAACCAATAAATCTTACTCCAAAGTGTTTATAGTTATCAGTGCAGAAGATCATACTAAGTCTAAGATTATGTTTTCAGGAGCTCATCATTTTCTTACTGCATCTTGTGGCACCTATACTGGAACACCATAGGCCACCAACCACACAGATATGGCTTCCACCGGCTGCAATTGTAAACACCGTGGGGGGAAAGGGTGGGAGCGGGGACATTTATGGTTGTTCATCATGATCCACTTCTGGCCTTTTTTCCAGAAGATGAGTTATATTCTATGCAAATTTGTTCAACATATCTTTTTTATGTTTGTATAAAAACAAAATATTATGAATTCAGATAATGATGTGAATAGGGATTCCAGCGGAATCACCTCGTCTGGTAGGGAGCATCAAGTCCATCACACTTCACTAATTAATAATATGTTAATGTTCATTATCTTTATTTTCATCTTGATGTTATCCAACTTTCTGTTTTGTATGAGTGTTCTAACATTCCATGTACCCATGTTCAGTATGTTTCTACCATTTTTACAGTAGCTGGATGACGGTCGGGTCTATCACCGGTAGACTAGAACATGATCATGATGGTCAGGAGCAGGGGAAAAGTATTCAGATCAGCACAGAATTATTTACTCAGGTGGGAAGGACTATAGTAAGGGAGTTTGTATTATTCTGGATCCAAAGAACTCAAAAACTGTGAAAGGATTTTGGACAATAGAGTAATATTAGTAAAACGTTACGGCAGACCGTTTGTCATCAACTTAGTACAGATTTATGCTCCAACAGCAGATAGTTCAGAGGAAGATATTGACGCATTTTATGATGAGTTAGACATGGCTGTTGATCAATGTAAAAATTGTGAAGTAACAATGGTACTTGGAGATTTCAACGCGAAAAAAGGAAGTGAAAAAGTGTACGGAATAACGGGTGGTTATGGCCTAGGAGAAAAGAATGTGAGAAGTGACAGATTAAAAGCATGGGCTGAGTTGCACAGCATGATAATAGGTAACACCTGGTTTAAACACCATCTTCAAAGATTGTGGACTTGGAAAAGTCCTGGCGATAATGTCCGCAATCAGATTGATTATTTTTGTATTTCAAGAAGATACCGGAGCAACTTAGTTGGAGCAAAAACTAGACCAGGAGCAGACTGCTTTAGTGACCAAGTTCCAGTTATAGGAAAAGTTAAAACTAAAGAATATTAGGAAAACATCACAGAACATCAAATTAAATTTAGGAATTCTTAGAACGGATAAAGAAATTAAGGAACAGTACAACGTCATTGTACAAAACCGATATAATGCAATGGAAATTATACAGACTATTGATGAACAGTGAGATATGTTGTGTAAGTCAATTCAGCAGACATCAAAAGAGACAATCCCACCAACCCATAGAGCTGCAAAAAAAAAAAAAAAATGGATGTCAACCGAAATTCTGCAGTTGATGGATGAAAGAAAGAAGAAAAAGAATGATAAAAGAAGAATACTCTGAATACAAAAAGAAATAGTCAACAAATGCAAAGTGGCTAAAGAAGCCTGGCTGAATCAAATGTGTACAGATGTTGTGGAAATCACAGGAAAGACTCACATTCCATGTACCAACAGATAAATATGTTAACAGGAAAGATGACACGTAACAACACTGGATGTTCAAAATTAAAAGATGGTGACTTATTAGTGGGACATAGTAATAAAATTAACAGATGGACAGAGTATTAGGGGATTTGTATGATGATAATAGACCAGATGTAGAACTGCAGACCAACAATGATGGTCCACCAATGATGACTGTAGAAGTTGAGGATGCATTAAATCATGAGGAAAGGAAAAGCACCCGGGCCAGACATCTCACTGGAAGAAATCAAAGCACTGAGAGATTCTGGAATTGAAATAATAACTAAACTTTTAAATTATATTTATAATAGTGGGTATATTCCGAATGACCTTTTAAAATCCATATTTATAGCTCTGCCAAAAAAAAAACTGGCACTTTAAAATGTGAAGACCATCACACAATAAGTCTTATGAGTTACATGACTAAGATTTTACTGAGAAGAATAAGAAACAAAATTAAAACAGAAATCAGCGATGAACAATATGGATTTGTAGAAGGAAAAGGTACAAACAATGCCATATACGTCCTAAGGACATTGTCAGAAAGAGCTATAGAAGTAAAGACTGATTTGTACTTATGCTTCATAGACTATACAAAAGCATTTGGCATGAAGATGTAATCAAATTGTTGGAAAAATTAAACATTGATGGAAAAGATCTACAAATAATTAAAAAAAATGTATTGGCAGCAAACAGCAGCTTTAAGAATTAACAACTGTTTAGGTACATTTCAAAGCATAAAGACAAGAATGTGTACTGTCACCTGATTTGTTTTCACTATACAGTGAATATATAATGAGGTCTTTAATTGATATACCCAGAATTGTGGTTGGTGAGCACAATATAAACAATTTACGTTATGCTGATGACACAGTTTTGATAGCAACAAGTCAGAAAGAACTACAGGAAATTATAGACATTTTGGTATACAAAAGTAATGGTCGTATCAAAGAAACAAACTATTCCTAAATGTGTAATAAAAGCAGATGGTGTTATTTTAGGACAAGTAAAGAAATTTAAGTATCTGGGCACATGGATAACATCAGATGGAAGATGCACAACTGAGATAAGAAACAGAATAGGACAGGCAAAAGCTACATTTTATAAAATGAAAAACATCTTGTGCAATATATCCTTGTCATTGAGAGTTAGAAAAAGAATTCTTGCTTGTTACATACATCCAGTTTTAACATACGGCTTTGAATCCTGGACAATCGGTAGGCAGGCCATACAATTTCTTGAGGCCTCAGAGATGTGGTTTTACAGAAGAATGCTTAGAATACCTTGGACAGCGAAAAAGAGCAACCAAGAGGTTTTGAAAGTGGCGGGAGCCCGGAGACAACTTATCACTGACATCAGAAGGAGACAGTCATCATTTTTCGGCCATGTTATGAGAAGAGGGAAAATAGAACATGTGACCACTGGAAAGATATGTGGAAGGAGAGATAGAGGAAGACAATGAGAGAAGATGCTTGACAGTCTTGTTGCATGGCATGGAGGTTCGGCACACAAACTGATACACGCTGCAGGAGATCGCAGATTGTGGAGAGGCATAATAGCCCACGCCAGTCGGCAAGGCACCTGATGATGATGATATTTGTATGCAGACTGTTTGTTCCTTGTCTATCAGGCAGGTGTAGTATGCAATCATATGACATGCTTGTTGGCATATTCTTGTTTTCCCTCACAGCCGGGCCCAGGAACCCACACTGGGGGGGGGGGGGGTGGGGGGGGGGGGGTCAGGATTTTAATTTAGGTTCCTCATGGGCATTTCCAGTGAGTGATAATATTTAGATACTGTAGATATAGAATAGATGATTAACATTAGTCTTATAGTCTTCAGTGGCCAATTTTCGCAGGTGACATCAGTTATGTAGCCACGGTTGTTAACTTGTTTGTGCCTTGTTTCAGTTTCAGCCTTTGCCTTTCTTATTTATTATTACAATTTATCAATTAATATTACATTCTTCATACTTCATCAATTGAAAGGTGTATTTAGCTGGGGGGCAAAATACAAATCATTGTCTTCATTTTGGTATGAATAAGTATTTCTTCATCCATCTTGAATTCATCTAATTTCATGTTCATTTTCCCCGGGGATTTGTTTTTAGGTGTATTTAACTTCAATTCCATGTCTCTGTTGGTTCTCCAACTGTCACTGGCTTAGTTTAAAACTGAAGTAACAGTAGAATTTAAAATACTTAACTTGGTTTTGAAACTACAATTTAGAGTTCTATATTTTGTTCACGATTTTAAAAGCTGCTGATGCCTTGCCAGTGTGTGTCATAATTTCAGTCTTGGTGTTACACCCTAAATAAGTAAATTTATCTGTTACTTTAGTTCCCTTTGTCTTTAGTGTTACATCTGCTTGATATGTTATTGATGTCTTCAATATATTTGTCTTTTCATGGCTTATTTATGGTCCGAACTTTGATGCTATATTTGATTTGCTAAATCATCTGTTATTCTTTCCATGTCATTGTTGTTTGAACTAAGCATTATTTTACACTTTTGAGGGGGAGATTGGAGCACCTATGGATCTGTCTGGAGTGCTGTGATGATAATCTTTTCTAATCACTTAGCAGAACAATATCGGCAGCACAATCTTCCAACAATGTGTTCTCCACCCAGTCTCTGCTGATGTTTTTAATGCTACATTTTTTTCTTCACCCAGTCTGCTGATGTTTTTAATGCTACATTTTTTTCTTCACCCAGTCATGGTTATGAAAAATAACAGGATAGATAAAATGCATCCCTGTTTCACTCCAGTTTCAGCTGCAAACCAATCACATATACCATCATCTGTTCATTAGGCTGGAGACTTTTGAACAATACAATACACTACCTAAATGCATTCTCTCCTAGTTACTTTCCAACATGCTTTTTTGCAGTTAGGAAGTTTTGGTATTAGTCTTGCACATCTCCGTGGTTACTGAGCAGCCCATGTACAATATTTGGAATGGAGTCAGGAAAATGGTCTGCCTACCAACCTCACTACAATAGTCATGGGCCATTTTCAGGCCAAAGAAACCTGAATAGAATCATTGAAACTTCTGAAGATTCACTAACTTGTCTGACTGTATTAACCACTTTTCAAGGCAAAGTAGGAATTGTTTGGTGGGCCTAGATATTCCCCTTGAGAACCATTGTAACCACTCACTCAGCCACTTTTCATCACTAAACCCTGATATATTTGGTTGAATTACGAAGTTGTAAAGAAGAGATGTACCAGTAAAGTACAGACATTCATAAGCTAGTGCAATTAGTGACATGTTAGGATCACTATATATGTTTAAAAAGTCTATGGTTAAGCACCAGTAAGGAAATCAAATTGTGATGCCTCATTTAGTGCCACTGATTTATGAGGTTCATCCATTTCATGATGCTAAACTGTTGTACATTATGTGAACATCTGTATGTAAAACATAATATCTCTTAGTGTTCCCCTTACTCTATTCTCTTAACTTTTCTGTTGTCTCAGCGTAGCCAAGGTTTTCCCTAGTTTTCACACTCCCATTCCATATATGGCCGTCTCATTTGTTTGTAGGTGGTTTATGGCTGCTTTTCTTTTCATTGATAAATTGTCACAAGGTTTGGTTGCACTTGTGCATATCTTTTCCTTTCCCTTTCTTGAACTTTCTAGTTTTAGTTTGTGTTAGGTGGATTTACTTTGCTTTTACTGGCATTGATCTCATTATATTTCACTTTACAACTTTGAGGTGATATTGTACAGCCATAACACTTTGTGGGTGCTGTTAGATGTTGCCCTATTATTCTTAGATGGTAATATTTAAATACTCCAACATTCCAGTTATTTATTTGTTTCACTTTATCTGCTTTAATAAAAATAATATAATCAGTAAAGCTCACATACAGATGTTTTGTTCATATCACTAATTATATGTGTTGTAATGGACAGTATATTTTATCACAAGCTTTTCTGTAGATAAGATATAGCTTTTCTAAAAATTAAAAATGATTTCCCTAACAATATAAATTTACTTTTTACTTAAGGACAAGAAGCAGGTTGAGCAACGGGAAGAAGAGAAACTGAAGTCCAAGTATCCTAATCTTGCTAAAGGAGGAGGTGGTTCAGCTTTGCTCAACAAAAGGCTCCAGAAGGGAGGAGTAAGTTGAAATTGTTACAGCATCTCTCAATAGTAGTTTGTATTGCATAGAGTTAAGGAAAACCTGTGTCTCATAGTGGTTAGGGCTTGCTTGCTGAGACTGGTCCAGCTTTGGTCCCCAGGCGTGACCGGATTTCCTTTTGACTGGTATAACCTTGAGGTTGCCTCACACTGGGAAACAAATGGGATTCATAATTGAATAAGAATTTTCTAAGAGACAATGGTGACAAGGAAAAGAACCGCCCATCATAAATAGATGTGTAACTCACTGTGTAAGTTCCTCATGATAGCGGTGAAGACAGTTAATCATCCATCATTTAGTTGGTAACTAAAAGGTTTATTCTGTTCACTGAACATGAAGTTTACCCACTGGTTGCATTGTATCCCCACCGTCCATATGGAGCACTTAAAATGTTGTTTCAGGTGTATTTCCTAGAGCTATTGTTTAGACTCCCTCTGCACACATCACATTGTGCTACAGTAGGTATTTCATCCCTTAGGTTTGCCCTCAGCACAAAGAACTTTTGTTATTGTTGCTGTCCTTTGAATTGATAATGTTCCAGACTTGATTTTTATTTTAGACTCACTTTATTTTCTTGTTGCAGCAAAAGTACTTTGACTCAGGAGATTATGCTATGGCTAAAGCCAAGCTCAGTGCCAAATCAAAACCACCCCCACCTCCAGAAAAAATAATCAAGGCAGAGGCTGTAGGGGAGACAATCCCAACACCTGAGAACATTCAAGCCAGAAAACCATCCCTGGTTACAAGCAAGTTAGCATCTGGAGAATTGATATGAGTCTGAAGATCTGAAGACTTAACATTTCACAAAGATGGTGTCACAGACAAAAATCTTCTTTTGTTGTGTCTTCATTTGTGAGACCCAAATTACAGCAGTCTAGTGAGATCCTGTCTACACACACTGAAATTTGTAATGTTAAACATTTCCAGACAATAAGGAGAATGTCTGTTCAGTTACATTATAATGACGGTGATTAAATCCTTTTTATAGTTCATCACATACTGTTAAATGACTTATAAGTATTCACCGAAACATGTGACATTTTAACTGGTATTCGGGAACTTATAACTATATACTGAAACATTCATTTGGTTCAGTCATAAAAATTAAAAAAAACAGCAATTCTTAATAATATTTTTTTTAAACTTTTTTTTATCAGAAAGGGTTATCACATATAAATAAAACAAAAAAAAATTAAATTTGTTATTTTAAAAAAAAAAACAATTTTCATTGTGGAGATTTCTTATCCTATATTTGTTTCATAGTTTGGGATAAAAGTTGAACTCAGATATTTGCCTGTACTTAAATAAATATTTTAATTTGACCACAGTTCTGTTTTTGGAATATATAGGTATAACTACTATTTCCCTAATATTTTTATGTTGGCCTGTGTTATGTGTTTTTTGGATGTTCATTCATTTTTCAAGCCCATGAAATGTATGTGAAACTCTGTTTATTGCATTAGTTGACCATTTGAAATAAAATGAACTTTCAAATTCAAGTTGACATTTGTAAACATTTATAGTTATATCTTTTGTATAGGTTAATATGCTTCACTTTGATTATAATTATTTAAAAAAAACAGATTCTAAAGCAACCTTTTACATTGAATTTTTAATTAATTTCAGAAATAATTCTGTTAGCAGAACAGTTGCATTGTAGAGTGCTAATCATTTCACATACTGTTAATGTAGTTTTGAGGTTCAGTTTTATTTACTTCCCCTTTTTAACACTGCTTGAGTGTATTCAAATGCAGTAACATTAAAACAGAATGAATCAAACTTTGGGTATAAGTTGATTTTAGGATTGATTACTGTTATATTTGGTGCACACAATCCTAATTGCATTTATGTTGTGAATAAAGTTTGTGATAAGGGCCTGTAGATTTGAATAAGGCAGTATTTTCTTTTAGTTCCAATATGTTGCTTGGTTATGTTTTTCTTTTTCTGCTTTCACCATTAAAATGAAGGTTGGCATCTCATGGTTGACAGCTAGGCTGCTGTATCTGCACCTTTTTCAGCAGACCCTTAATTAGTCGCCTTTTTTACAACATTGTTGTTATATGATGGTGGAAACCCCCCACCCCCTCCCCCATTTAGGTTCCTGATCCCACACTAGAAAGGTCTTGCTGTTTTTAAGTAATTGCACACAGACAGAAAAAAGGTATGTAGAAATAGGAACCTGAGCATGAAATAATCAGTATAAATGTATGCTTTGAGGGTAGATTGAACATTGCCATAGAAACCACCCTAGGGGTAAATGATACTGCCTTGAAAAAAAAAAAAGTTAAACAGCAGTTGTAAATGCTTCTGGAAAACACTGGCAGCAGGTTTTCCCCCTTAGACTCGAGTAAGAGGACATAATTATTAGAATTCACTCCCTGAATGAATAAACTCATTGTAGGATTGAAAACATTCCAGAGTATTCATGTGTATTTGGAATTCTTGTTTTTTGATACTGAAGATGACAAAACTCCTGTTTGTGTTTGTATACTTTTCATTTCTTTCTTTAAGTCTATAATAACCCTGTTATTATCACTCATTTGGCAATTTCACATAAGTTTGGAAATCGATTATATTGGCAACATTATTTTTAATGTTACATTTTTGTTGGTTGCTTTTGTGTGTGTGTATGTAAACACTACTGTTAATCATCTCTAGAAGTTGAAGTACTCAGGTATTTCCAATATAGTGGCTTTTGCTGAATTTGAGGTGTGACAAGTGAATTTGAAATGGGCTACAGAAATAGTGGAAATACTGATGCCTTATAAATTGTTTTTGAAATATTTCAGATAACAGGAATGGCAATACTGAGTTGCATGTAGTAATGGAGTTGTGAATTGCTAGGCATAATTTGATACTTCTAAAAAAAAACAAAAAAACATCAGCAATGCAGACATCCAGTGAGTGTAATGACACTGCAATCATAGGTACTGGTAACAAGAAGAACACTGATAATTGAACAGATGATTTGGGCTTTGTTGGCAGCAGAAATCCTTATCACAGATCAATAAATTGAACCACTGACAATCACAGATTTGTTTTCTTTCCACATTCTGTGTTCACCCAACAGTCGCCTTTTTTTTTTTTTTTTTTTTCTTAAGTGAAGACTTACAGTACATGACAAAATCCTATTTGATTTTACAATAACGGAAGGAAAGCTTGTCATTAGCTTTTGGTTTTTTTTTTTAAAGAAAGTTTAGATATTTTTTTGTAAAAACTACAGTTAGAATGTTTTGTTGTTGTCAGTGGATGGTATTAAAATTATTGTGTTCACATCTGACATGTTGGTCATATTAAATATAATTCACACGGTCCTACTGCTGTCAGGGGTTACAATAATACTGATAATTATTTGCTTGTTGATTCCTGTCCTGACATATGTGCATGTTGTTGGCTTTGCCAGGACTGCTGTCTTTTCAACCTTTCATACTAGACAGTTTACTGTCAAGTTGGAACTTTGACTAACATCTAAGATTTGAAATTTAATTAATGTTTATTTGTCTCTTAGTTGATCAGTTGTGTCCATGACTTTCATAGCAGATTTATACCAGTCAGCTACTGGCATGTTTCCCATTCCTTTGTCTTAAGTAGCAGATATAGAGGTGGATATTATGGTGTTCATGCTTCCTCTCTGTGAACTTCAACCTCTGGAGGAAAAGCAAGGAACAAAACACTGGGATGGAATTTACTGAGTTAGGCAGTTTACAATTCTA